CATCCATCCACCTACCAAAGGACATCTCGGCTGCCTCCACATTCTGGTAAATAAAGCTGCTGTAAAGATTTATGTGACTGTTTTTGTGTTCGTGTGTGTTTTCAGTTCGTTTGGATAGATGCCGAGGAGCATGGTGACGCAGCGCGAGTTCATCGCGCTCTGCAGGCGCCGTGAGGCTCCCCGAGGGACTGTGCGGTGCTGAGCCCCGCAGCGCAGAGCTGCCCTGCTTCCGGCTCCTGCCAGCGCGCGGCTCCGCGTCCCGCAGGGGGCCGTCCGGCAGGTGCGCCGCGGCGGCCGACTTCCACCTCATTTTCCAGTTCCTGATTGTCCTACGACACCGAGCGCCTGGCACATGCTTCTTTGCCCTGTGTACATCTTCCTTGGTGAGGTGTGTATTCACATCTTTGCTCATTTTTTTAAAATGGGCTCTTTGTTTTCCTTATTACTATTTAAATAGTTCTTTGTATATTTTGAATATTGATCCTTTAGTCAATATGTATTTTGTAAAGACTTTCTCCCAATCTGTGACTTGTCTTCTCATTTTCCTAAGTGTCTTTGTCACAGACTATTTGTACTGTTTGGCATCAATTGGTTGTTCTTTTGGTGCTGAATCTAAGAAGTCATCACCAAACCCAAGGTCATCTAGACTATCATAAAACTGCAAAAAACCAATATACCATGTAAAATTAAAAGTTCACAGCAAGTTTTATGGACTAGTGGTGACTTCTTTACATCAAGATGGTTGAAAGGAAAGGTAATTTGGGATAAAGAAGACTGCTGGTGAGTTCAGGTTTTTCCTTTTATTTTCCCTCTGAAAATGTATAGATGTGTGGGCACAAGGAAAGCTCCTTTCAAAAACTCAAAGAGGAAAGAAAGATCCCAAATTCACTCTACAAGGCCAGCATTTCCTTGTGGGCAAAGCCAAAGGTGTTATAAAAAGAAAACAGAAAATTACAGCCCAGTGTCCTTCATGGACATAGATGCAAGAGTGAGGTACATCATGTTAACAAAGTAAAGAACAAAAACTTATATGTAAAGTAACTACTCGTATTTATAAGGGAATTACAAGTATTATTGAATAGTTTCTACTAGTTTTTAAATGTATAGGTTGAAGATCATTTAGATTAATAAGAAAAGATACATCAAGAGAAGACAAATATCCATCATTCATCCTTCCAGAGACCGACCGAACCCAAAACCTAGGTGTGACCCTGACCTGGAATCTAGCCCGCAACCTTTCAGTGCACCGAGCCACACCGGCCAGGGATACCTTGCTTGGTGAAAGTGCACCATCTCAGTGGATTTTCTTTTATATCTACATAGACAAAGCAGCTCGAAGCAGCGACAGTGGAAGGCCCTCATTTCCTCTGGGCCCTGCAGGGAACAGTGCTCAGAGACCCAGTTCACTGGCATTTGTCTCTGGTACAGAGAACAGAAATGCAGAAAGGTGGTTAAAATAGAGCCACAGCATGGCTTCTCTTACTGTTGAAGGGCTGGGCCAACCAGGGCAGGTTCTAGGAAAAAAAACCTTGGTCACCAGGACAAAACCTCCAAAGGGGAAGCTTCCCACTGAGGCAGGGGCTGGTTATAGCAGTTTACTGCACAGCCTCTACCTACACTCGGAGCCAAGGTGAGGCTCCGAGAGGACGAAGCTACCTGGAGCCAGGTACTACTCGGTGACCCAAGGAGACCCCACCTACCTGTTTATGGAAAGGGCTCAGAATCAAGAAAAAGCAAACTAAACATCTAAAACAACAACATGAAGGCATAAAGAAAGGACTCAGCATTAAAAAATAATGCACAAATACATTTATATTATATTGCACTAAAAATACTAAAAACATATTATTAGAAAAATATATGCTAAGAAAATGAAGTAAAATTTTAAAAATATTTGTTTCTCTATAGGCATAACCCATTATAGTAAGGACTCCTGCCACAAGCAGTGGCTGAGAAATAAAGGGATACGAACAGAGTGGGAGGAAGGAAGAAGGAGTGGAAATAGAACCACAGGAGGAGAAAGTTCTCAACCAGAATATCAGCAAAATCCAACAATATATGAAAGAATTACAAACCACGGCCACATGAGACTCATTCAAGGAATATAGTATTTCAAAAACAACCAATGCAATCAACCATATTTATAACCTGAAGAGAGAAATCACATGATCAACGTCTAAAAGCATGTGTTGAAATTCAACTCATTCATAATAAATGTTCTCACCAAATCCTAACTTACTGGTTACTGCAGTTACAACTGTAATTAATGCAATTCCTAGTAAAACCACAAAAAAGTTTTTTATAGACATAGACAAACTTTTACCAAAACTTGTATGTAACATTGCAGGCCCTAGAATAGTTAAAACAACCCTGGCAAAGAAAATAACGGGAGGAATCTACTCTGCCCGATATTCAGGCTTACTCTGTAGCCCCAGGAATCAGACAGTGTGGTACTGGCAAAGGGATAGGCACACAGGCCAATGGAACTAAATAGAGAACTCAGAAACAGACCACACAGACGTGTCCAACTGATTTCTGACAAATTACGACATAAAGGACAGCCTTTTTTATAGATGGTGCTAGATCAATTAGGCATCCTAGACAAAACATTAAGGATTAAATAGAACTCAGCCTAAAGCTTATACAAAATTAACTCAAAATTAATTATAGGCTGAAAAGTAAAACTGCAAACTTTTAGGGAAAAAAAACCCACCCAAAACAGGAGGTTATCTTCAGGGTCTGGGACTAGGCAAAGAGTCCCCCTGACACCAAAGCATGACCCACAAAAGAATAAATTTATAAATTGGACCTCATAAGAATTAAAACCTTTTCCCTGTGAAAGACCCCGTTATGGGGTTGAAACCACAGAGCAGTGGGAAATATTTGCAAACCACATATCTGGCAAAGAACTAGTATTTAAAATACCTAAAGAATTTTCAAAACTCAACAGTAATAATCAAACAATCCAATTAGAAACGGACAATATGCATAAAGAGATATTTCACCAAAGATGATCTACAGATAGCATTAAGCACTTGAAAGGGTGTTCAACATAATTAGTCATTAGGGAAATGCAAATTAAAACCACATGAGATATCATCACTCCATGCCTATCAGAAAGGCAACATAAAAATTAGTGACAACACTAAATGCTGGCAAAGATACAAAGAAACTGGATCGTTCCTACATCACTGGCAGTAATGTAAAGCAGTAGTTACTCTAGAAAGTGGTTCGATAGTTTCTTATATGACTCAGCATTCAGTTACCATGTGACCCAGCAACTGCTCTCTTGGACATAAGTAAAAACAAATGTTCACACAAAAACCTACACATAAATGTTCACAGTGGCTTTATTCAAATTGCCAGAAACTGATAACAACCCGGATGCCCTTCAATGGGTGAATCACTAAAGGAAATGGGTCATCGGATACTACTGAGAAATAAAAAGCAATCAACTATTATTATATACAACCACCTGATGAATTTCCTGATAATTATGCTGGATGAAAAAGCCAACCCCAAGAGGTATGATTTCATTTTATATAATATATTTGAAATGACAAAATTTTAGAAATGGAGAACACACTAGCAGTTCCCAGGGGATCTAAATATTACTGGAGGGAAGAGTATAAAGGAGGGGTGTGCTTATGAAATGACGACACAAGGTATCCTTAGAGGGATAAAATTGTTCAGATCTTTACTGCGATGGTGGATACACAAATCTACACACATGATAAGATTATATAGAACCAAATGTTCTATACACACACACACACACAGAAATAAGTACAAGTACAAGAGGAGACATCCAAACAGAATCAGCCAATTGTACTCATGTCAATAAAATGTTACCACTGAAGGACACTGGATAAAGGATATTATGAGAACTCTCTGCATTATTTCTACAACCACATATGAATCTGTAATTATCTCAATTTTAAAAAACCTAGATAATATCATACTGAATTGTGAATCTTACTCAAGGAGCCTGAACTCTTACAAATAGGCAGTTGGGTAGATAGTGACAGAAGGAGACTTGACTTTGGGTGGTGAACACACAATACACATACAGATGGTGTACTGTAGAATTGTATGCCTGGAACATATAACTGTTATATTAACCAATGTTGCCCCAATTCATTCAATAAAAATGTTTTAAAAATAGGCATCTAGGAGCCACAGAAGCTGGTTGAGGTTGAATGACTTGATCAGTCCACATGACGACAGTGAGGATGGTGAATTAAGGCAGGGTCACAGAAACACCTTCAGGGATCAAGTACGAGGCGATTCGGAAATGGGTATTACACCCATGCAAGCGTGGGACGGGCCTGCGCCTGTGGCTACTTCAGCAGCTGCATGTCCATCCTGCGACCCCTTCCCCAAGCTCTCTGGTAACCTGCACAGTGTGGGAACCTGGTCACAACACAGAGGCACTGCCAGGCCCTTTCATCACGCTCACGTAATTCTTTTGTGCCATGTTGGTAACATTTTGGTAATATGAAGAAACATTTTAGACCCTGGTTTCAATATTTTTTGTAATTTTATAAATATAACTGATAATTTTTCTAATCACTGAGATAATTAGCATGTTCTTAAAAATAAATTTAAGGTGTTTCACGTTTTGAAAAATATATTAGACTTGTGGTTTTAATTATTTTTAATTGAATGTTTAGAAACTTTTGATTAAATCAGTTCATAATCAATGTTTAAATGTCTGAGAAAATTTTAACTTGTTCATTTTTAATATTTTGATTTATTAGTCTAAGAAGCATTTAAATGTTCAGAGAAATATAATTTACTGATTTTATACATTTATTTAATTGTGCATGAGATAAAACACAACAGGAGGAAAGCCCTTCATGCATTAAGGGTGACGCTCACCAAGCTGTAGGTCGGGGGGAGTGGGCCCTTGCGTCCCTGACACCGGCTGCCGGGCAGCTGTGCACCCTCTCCCAGTCTCAGAGCGGCGGTCCCCGCTCCAGGAGGAGGAATGGTCTTACCTTACGGGGCTGTCCATCCTGGACACGGTGAGGAAGGCAGCCAGGTTGGCCGTGTAGGAGGAGCACACGATGAGGGTGAAGAGCCACCAGCTTCCCATCACGATGCGCACGGCCACGGAGTTCGCGGCGGATCCGCCCCCTGCGGGAGGCAGGCAGAGGCGATTGGCCCCGGGCTTCCGCTCTCACTCCCCTCCCCACGGCCGTGCTCTGGGCACAGGGCCTCCCCTGCGATGGACTGGGGAGCAGAGAAGCGGCTGCCAGCTTATCACGGGGGACGGTGGCAATTCTGGGAAAGAGGCCTGGGCCGCCAGTCTTGGGAATGGATGGAGGACCACAAAATATGGAAAAACCAGAATTGGCCTTTTACTGATGAGGTATTAGTCAAAACACCAAGGATAAAGTCCTAGTGCCAAACTCTCCCGGTTAGAAGGCTCCGCCTCACGATGGGACCTCCTGGCTGCCCTCTGGCCGAGGGAAGGTCCCTGTCCCTGTCAAATGCATACGGAGCAGTCTTGGGAATTCTGCAAACATGGAGTTCCTCCTACTGGGAGGGTTCCCGAGCGCTCCTCTAACCCTCCGAAAGGAGATGGGCCATATCACCGTGATTACTGCCCGGCCCTTACTAGGTGGTGTCTCTTCCCAGGAGTTTCATAAAGCATCCCCTGTGACTCTCAGTCAGAGGCGGCCTCTTTGAGGCCAGTGTTTCCTCCTTGGTCCCTTATGCAATAGCAGAAAGAAGCTTCTTTCTTACTATTCTTATGTAACCTCACAAACAAGTGATATATGTTTTGCCCTGGTGCAAACTGGGCCAACACTCATATTAGGAACTTCCAATTTGTTGTTTCTGGTCGAAACCGCAGCGCCCAGACTTCTCAGGGATGGGAGGCTATATCTCAAGAATGACTGGAGTGCTGCTTAGATGGGCAAGAACAGTTGCCATGTTTTCCTGTTAAGACTTCAAATTTAAACAAGATTTAGTTTCGTTTGACAGCCCCACATGTGTAGCAATCACTCCAAACTGGGAGGGGTGGAAGCTGCCAAGCAGACTCCAAAGTCAATTTTATCTAAAGTGGAGAATCAGGATTTGAAGTTGAGTGCCTTGTTATCATTTCATTTCACTTCTATTTAATGTTACTCAGAGAAATTGGGTGCAGCATGGTATCAGTACTGTCCTAGAGATTACATAAAATTGCATTTAAAATGACTCCGGCAACATGCTTCTAAGAATCTGCCAATGGATACGTTCTCCCAGGCCCCGAGGGCCTCCCAGCGCCAGGAGGCCAGGAGGTACCTTGCTGTACGAAGGCGCCATAGACGATCCAGATGGCGCTGTGTAAGGTGGCAGCCGCGGACGGCCGGGGCTGGGCAGCATTCTGAGCCCTCGCGGCCTGGATCCGGTTCAACACAAATATCAGCACGCCGACCACAGGGACGGCCGCGGCGATGCAGGCCCAGACCGCAAAATCAAACGGAGCGAAGAGCGAGAAGATGCTGATTTTCTCCTCGGGCTTCCTGACGAGGATCCCCACCGAGTAGTCCATGTAGCGCTTGCTGAAGTCCACGACGCTCTCCCTCTCGGGGGTGATGGTGATGGCCGAGATGGCCAGGTCCGCTCTCTGAAAGCGAATCGTCCTGTCAGGAGGCGGGCCGCGGCTGCGGCAGTCCCGCTGTGCCAGGGCCTGCCCTCCGCCCTCTCAGCTGCCCTGTTCCCAGGAAACGGGACTCTCAGGTTGGCACCGTGACCACGAGTGTTTTACGGCAAATCCAGCACTAAGCTGTCTGTACTTCCTTTTCCTTGCGAATGTCTCTGTCAAACCCTAACAGCTCCTGGAAACTTCTGGAGGAAGAGTGTAACTATCCCACTCCCGCGGCATCTGTGCTTTTCCCTCGCATCCTTACTGCTCCCCCAGCGAATCTGAGCTGCCCCTTCCCCAGGCCGGTCTTCCCTCCGGCCGCCTCCACACACCCTTTTGTCTCCAGGGCGTATCTGCTCCCTCCCTGCGCCTGAGGGCCACAGAGCCACTCCGTCCCTGTCAGGCCTCTCCAAGCTCCATTAGTGCACCCGGATCTCTTCTAAAATACTTTAGACCTTGTACGGTGAGTTCTGCAACTACCTTGAATCTCATTCATGTGTCAGTCCCCGATGGTCTCCTGTGCAGACTCTATACCGGAGAGCAACACCCACCAAGAAAAAAGCGGCCCTCTGCTTCTCCAGTGCGCCCACCGCCCTTAGCTGGCGCCTGCCCACGCAGGCCGGCCCTCTGCAGCGGAACGCCGCGCTGTGCAGGGGCTCCTGGGCAAGCTGCACTGGGGCATGAAACATGCCTCCCAGGGCTTTTGCTTTCTAAGATGGGCTTCATTTTAAAAAGAATCAAAGAGCCCCGTTCAGATGGACCTGGACGGTGGGACAGGGCTGCCAAGGCCGGCGGAGGTGAGGGTCCTCACACCCAGACGAGCACCGGCCAGCAGGCAGGCCAGGCGCCCAGCTCAGCCGCGAGAGCAGCACGGCCTGCGGTGTCTGTCTGCATCTCGGCTCCCGGGCCTTTGGTCGGAGGCTTCCTCAGAACTAGGTTTAGTTTAACATGTCCAATTGTAACAAAGGATCTAACCTACTTATTCAAACTGGGGAAACACACACAGCAAGGTTTTATCAGGTTTACTCTGTGGGCTAGCGGGGCGGATGTACCAAAGCGCTAGCTGGAAAAGAAGGGTGCTGCGGGTGCGATGTGGGTGCTCTCCTTTCACCTGTCACCTGTGCGTCTCTGGCTTTTGCCTTTGCCTCTCTTGCCAGGGGTTCTGCTTGTTTGTTTCAGGATCTGGACAATTTGGAGCAGAATTAAGGACTGAGAAAGAGGTCTGGTGAGCGGGGTAAGTTTGCAATACAGCGTGGAAGGAAACCCTGCGAAGCCAGGTCCAGAGGAGGCGCAGGGAAGCGACACAGGTGGACGCAAGGCCGGAGGTGAGGGCCGCCCTATCTGCAGATGTGAGTTTCATGGGAAATTGGAGCAGAATTTCATGCCCAAAAGACTTTACTCCTTCCCATCATGTAGGGACACTTTTTTTTTTTTTTAATTGAGGACAGATTATTAGGTTGCTGAGGAGAAAGGTAAAGTTTTGAAACATTTTCTAAGAACTGTTGCCCAAGGACCCCACCAAGGACAGGTCAAGGAGCTCAGGCTGCACTGAGGCCCCACTGAGGGGAGCCACACAGTGCTCAAACCTCCACCCGAGGCCTACGGTTCTCTCTGACTGTGGGCAGCCACCTGGACGCCAGAGTCAGGAGACAGACAATAGCATCAAGTCAGGGCGGGTGCAGCAGGAAATCAAAACACCGAGAACCACAGGGGTGAAGGGACGCACAGGTCTGTCTGGCCGTCGCGGAGGGCACAGCAGGCAGGGGCGGGTGACGCACAGGAGAGCACAGAAACCTTGGGGAAGGGCGAACCTCAAATCCACATGCCAAGTGGAAAGGGCCAGACACAAAAGATCACACACGTTACACGACTCGTTTATACTGAACGTGCATAAACCGGATCCTCGGAGGTGGGAAGCAGCTGGGCGGTTGCCTGGAGCTGGGAGAGTGGGAGTGATGGTGAGAGAGTGGGAGCGCCCGCTGGGCGGGGCATGGACAGGTCCTGAAGCCACGTTATGGAGATGGTGGCACAACTCAGTAGATTTTCTAAAAATCACTGAACCGTGTATCTGAAATGGGTGAATTTTATAGTATATAAATTATACTATGAAAAGGTTTTTAAAAAGCCTGAGGAAAACTGCAGAGCAATGGGCCTCAGGTCTGCCTTCATGGGTTTATAAAGCAAGGAGCTGGTCTTAGGAGCAAAGGCCTGAAAGACTCGGAAGTACAACAGGCTGTAGTCGTGACATGGGACAGGGACAGCAACACGGAGGCTGCTAACAAGGTGCATGGATGTGGTGCTTAGTGACAAGCAAGCGACGGTCACCGGAGGTGAGAAGTTCAGAGCACTGTGACCCCACAGCTGTCCACAGGCATGTCAGAAACACCCCAGGTGGTGGTAACAGTGACCCTGAGAGGGAGGCTTGAGTCAGGTGCCTCCATCATAAATGATTGTGAGGAAATGACCCAGAGCTCATGGGATGCCAGGGGCAAGAATGGGGACACACTGAATTGGCCTCATGCCATGGGCTCAGTGAGGACTCAGGTTCCACAGCAGGGAGAAGAGTAATGATCCTAAATTAGCATGAGGAGCTGAGGAGCACCACATCACCTGCACACACACACACGCATGCACGCACACACCCACACGTGCACACACATGCACTGCACACATGTGCACCCACTGATGGGCCACGTGGGAGAGGGGAACAGGCACTCCCAGTTACACCCATGAGAACTGGGTCCCATTTCAGCCTCAGTGTGGGGTGCGTGTCAGACGGGCATATGACAGCAGGCACAGTGGCTGGGCGTCAAAGGAACGAGAGCAACGGGCACAGCAGGAAAACACAGAGCCAGGGAGGAGGACATGAAGGAACAGGGGTGGGCGCGGTGGGAGAAAGGGCTTTCGTGTGTGGAGGGTGGTAACTGTGGTCTGCTCAGCTGGTCCCAAGGTTCCAACTGTTCAACAGGCCTCGTTTGGGTAACACCCCAGAGGCGGACGAGGGTGCCCTCCCATGGACCTGCACCAGGGACCTACCTTGCTGATGAGCTCCCCAATCATCCCGTTCCAGGAGGTGTTGTGGAGCTGGTGGCCGTACCTGCCGTCAGGGGCCTGGTAGATCTCGTACTTGAAGCCCAGGGCCTTGGCCAGCGCATCCAGGACGTCCACGGAGAAGCCTTTGTAGCGTTTGGGCTGTCCAAGGATGTTTTCAGCCACCATCACAAAAGGCTCCTCCTGAGGACAACAGAGCACGCTCTTCAGTTAAACAGCAGGCCTGTCAACCACATCGCCCCAGGTGTCACTGGAGACCCACCTGATGAGCTGCATGTTTGCAGGCATGTATTTTTACCTGATTTAGGCCTGGGGTCTGAGCTCTCTGCCCTTTCCTAGCAGTTCATGGATACTCGGGGTCAGTGCCCAGGATGCTTCCCCCAGCAGCATGCAATGGAGCACAGAGATCTGTTTCTCAGGATTATGTTATCCCAGGTCTGCCCTGAACCCTATCTCCCAGCTAGTGAGGCTTGTTTCCATCCTTCATCTGAGACATGGAGAGCTCTGTCCTGGGAAATGCCATAATCCTTCAGGACCTACATAAGAAGTGTGGGTATTTCTCATCCAGATAATAAATGACAATAATGTCTGTGATGTTAGACTGAGAGAAGACAGGATTGCATCTATCAGGCTGTACTAGAGAATGGGTGTTGATTAATGGGCCACAATCATATTCTAAGCCAAAGGATAGGACAGGATGGAATCCCCAGTCCTGAGTCTGAAGCCACGCTCAGTCACATGCTCCCGCAGGGCACGTGGCCATCTGGAAAACACCTCCTTCTCCCCTCCGCCACCCTGTGAAACTGAACAAGAGTAAGCCCCAGGGAATGGGTCTCATTACTTTAATTTTTTTTTTTTTGTATACTGCTTGTTTCTGGTGCGCACATAGGGAATGCCCGAACACGGCTGACAAAGGTGTCTAGAGCTGGGCAGAGGGGCATCTGGACCACGTCTGACCAGGTAATAAGAGGCAAGCCTAAAACGTCTCCACTTCTGAAAAGGTGAAAAAATAAAATAGAAATAGAAAGGAAGATGTTCCCTGGGTCTCTGAAGGATGTAAATGTCTATGATTCCAGGACAACTGCACAGAAAAATTGCAACAAATAGTCCTCATTCTGAACTTTGTGCCCTATGGCCCATCAGTGGTGCCGCGGGAGAAAATGTCCTCTTCCCAGCACCTTCTGGGGACTCTGGGTGCCAGCAAAGCTCCCTCAGGACCGCCGGCAGGTGAAGGCCCTGTCTACGTCCAAGAAGCAGCAGTGCAGCCGCGCCGCTCGGGGCTCAGCGGCGCGTCAGGAGCTCCTGGGGCGACTCTTGTTTCATCAGTCACCAGACTGTTTGGGTGAAAGGCCCTATGAACCCCCCGCCACTACTCAAGACCCCTTCTCCCCACACCCAGCATCAAATCGGACAGAGAAGCCTCTGCCTCACACGCCTAAGAGTGAACCGGCCCCGGAGGCCGGCGGTCTTACCAGGACAGTCACCACTTTCAGAGTCAGCCCCTGCAGGCGGCTGCCTGTGGGCCTCTCCTGCAGGCTGCCGTTCAGGCCCTTCTCTGAGTCCCAGGTCGCGAGCTGCGAAGGAGAAGGGAGCGTGAGGGCAGATCGAGCCCCGGCACAGCCACCCCGCCGCCGTGAAACCCGCTGTTTAACCGGGACGCCGAGTCAGGCGGGTGGACTGCACGGCGGAGCGTCTCCGAGACCCAGAGCCACGTAGGACCTTGGAGAGAGTGAGTGTGACAGGCAGATGGTATCGGTGCCCCGTCACTTGTCTGGACCTCGAGGCCTTGCCACATTCTTAAAGTGAAACCGACGGTAAAACCTGCTTCTGGAATGAACGTCTGTGTCCAGCTCCATTCTGTCCACTCGCTGAAGCGGTCACTGTGTCGCCCACAGAGGCTGCTCGCTCGTTAATTACTCCTTGACTCACCCAGGCCAGAGGGCCCTGGAGCCCAGCCACTGCCATCACCAGCCAGCGCAGGACGACGCCCAGCAGGGAAGCAGGTAACAAAGGCCCAGGGTATAGCCTGTCCCCAGTCTGGCGCCCACCGCGAGCAGGGACCCGAGCTCACTGCCTGTCTCCACGGCAGTGCACGCCTCATCACTCCCCGACAGGCACCCGGAGGCCAAGCTGCATGTGCCCCGGACGGCCACGCCCTCCAGCACCCGCGGGATCTGTCTGATAGTGCCACTTCAGACGCCCTCCTGGCTCAGAAGCAACAGGGAACAGGTGTCCTTGGGATTGCTCCCCCTCCCCCATCCCTGCAGGGCCGGGCCGGAATGATGAAATCTTCATCCCATCAGTGATTCTCAATTATTAATTTGTGAGATGTAAAAAAATACAGACACCGGCCCCCATCTCGAGCCACTTAATCAGGACCTCAGCCTTGGTTCTGTGGAAAGAGAGCTTCTGAGAGCCTGGGTGACAAACCCTGTTCTTCCAGGTGCTGGGCCTCCAACTAGGCTGCATAGGAGAATCTCTAAGAGGACTTTCACAGCACGCTGAAGGCCGGGCCCACCTGCGGGGAGTCAGGCTTAATTGGTTTGGAGTGAACTAGATGTGGATATTTTAGCCCCCTGATGATTCTAATGCATAGCCAAGACCATGAACCACACTGCAGACTAAAGAGTGATCCTCAAATTCTGACAGGCACACAAGTCACCCAGGGACTTTTCATGCACTTTCTGATCCTGAGGTTATTTCTGTCTAACACACTCCCTCCTGGGTGCTGCTGCTCACCCCTGGACCACTAATTCAGTGGCAAGGGGGGGAAGATTCAGGCTGACGGGCAGCCCCTACTCTTTGTCAGAGAAGATCAGCTCATTAGGCCAAGAAGAACCACGCCTCTGTGGAAAAGTGCCACGAGGGGCCCTAATGGTGCCACCAATACTGCCCCTTAAGGACACTGCTCCTCGCCCAGCATTTTCCACGGTCCTGACATCTGCAGCAGGATCCACACACAGAGCTTCGCATCTGCGAGACCATCCCACCTGGAAGCTACGCAGCCCTGGCCTAGAGCAGGACGTCAGAGCCATGCACCTGGTTCCAGAACCAGCTTAAAAAGAACCTGGATGCTCCTGCTGTCACTTAGGACATGATACCAACCAAGACCCACTCCTTCCGATTAATAGGATGCATGGCAGTGATGAGAGAACTGTTTAATTATGAGCATGGCTGTGCTCTGAGGAGCTACCACAGCCCCACCAACTAATTTTAGGAGCACTGAAGGGAAGAGCAAAGGGAAAATCTACCCAATATCCTTTCAAGCACACAAAAGATACCAAACCCTAGGAACTGGAACAGTGAGAAGAAACCTCATGGCTGTTCTCCACTGGGTCTCAGGAAATAGCCCTGGGACCAGAATCAACTCCTGCAGCAGGACTGAAATGCTGCTCAAAGGAAGAGAACAAGCTCAGCCAAAAGGAGTCAAGGTACCAACCCCCTGCCTTTGGAGCCTCCTACAGGGGCCAGGGGACTCCTGTGTGTCTGTGGGCCGCTGGCAACTTCCCCCTATAGTGTGTGCCTTGGAGCCATGTAACCTCATGCGTGGTCTGCTGCACCTCCTGGGCTGGCTGGTGTTAGGAAGGCCCCTTGACCACCTCAGCTACTCACGGTGTCATATGGAGGCAGCTTGTCCTCCTGATGATGTGTCGGTTCCAAGGATTGGGTGCTCTGCCCTGCACCTGGCCCTGCATTTCTACACCTGCTGCTGAACCTCCCTGGCATGGGTGCCGGGACCTCTTGACTCTGTGATGCCCGGGCTTGGGTAAGTGCCTGCAATGACACTGCATGTCCGTGACCAGCAAGGCTCTACCTGTCTTTCTGTGAGGCCTCTGATCAGTCATGAGAATGGAGAGCGGAGGCTAGAAGAAGCAGTTGGGGTGAAGTCAGGTCCTTCCAGAGTTTCAGCTAAGCTCCAAGGCTCTGCCTCTCAATGACGTCCATGCCACCCCATGCTTCTGGCCTACGACCTGGCTCAGGGCAGCACCTCTGTCCCAGGGCATTTCAGTAGCCTCTCCACTGACCTCACTGCCCTCACCTCCCTCTCTCAGAGCCCTTCTCCAGTGTGCAACAAATAAACTCAGACATGAACTGTTTTACATTTTTCCAATGACTTCCCATTTTCTACAGGATAAACCCCAACACTTTCAAGCTTGGCCCAAAAAAGTCTAATGCAGAGCCAACCGGACTCTAAGCTGCACTGTAGCTCACATAGCACAGTGCATCCAGCTCACAGGATGCAGTGCAATCGGGCTCACAAGGCACAGTGCGCTCCACCTCACGGGGCACAGTGCGCTCCGGCTCACGGGGCACAGTGCGCTCCGGCTCACACGGGGCACAGGGCGCTCTGGCTCACAGGGCACAGTGCGCTCCACCTCACAGGGCACAGGGCGCTCCGGCTCACAGGGCACAGTGCGCTCCGGCTCACACGGGGCACAGTGCGCTCCGGCTCACAGGGCACAGTGCGCTCCGGCTCACACGGGGCACAGGGCGCTCCGGCTCACAGGGCACAGTGCGCTCCGGCTCACACGGGGCACAGGGCGCTCCGGCTCACAGGGCACAGTGCGCTCCACCTCACAGGGCACAGGGCGCTCCGGCTCACAGGGCACAGTGCGCTCCGGCTCACACGGGGCACAGGGCGCTCCGGCTCACAGGGCACAGTGCGCTCCACCTCACAGGGCACAGGGCGCTCCGGCTCACAGGGCACAGTGCGCTCCGGCTCACACGGGGCACAGTGCGCTCCGGCTCACAGGGCACAGTGCGCTCCGGCTCACACGGGGCACAGGGCGCTCCGGCTCACAGGGCACAGTGCGCTCCGGCTCACACGGGGCACAGTGCGCTCCGGCTCACAGGGCACAGTGCGCTCCGGCTCACACGGGGCACAGGGCGCTCCGGCTCACAGGGCACAGTGCGCTCCGGCTCACACGGGGCACAGTGCGCTCCGGCTCACAGGGCACAGTGCGCTCCGGCTCACACGGGGCACAGGGCGCTCCGGCTCACAGGGCACAGTGCGCTCCGGCTCACACGGGGCACAGTGCGCTCCGGCTCACAGGGCACAGTGCGCTCCGGCTCACACGGGGCACAGGGCGCTCCGGCTCACAGGGCACAGTGCGCTCCGGCTCACACGGGGCACAGTGCGCTCCGGCTCACAGGGCACAGTGCGCTCCGGCTCACACGGGGCACAGGGCGCTCCGGCTCACAGGGCACAGTGCGCTCCGGCTCACACGGGGCACAGGGCGCTCCGGCTCACAGGGCACAGTGCGCTCCGGCTCACACGGGGCACAGGGCGCTCCGGCTCACAGGGCACAGTGCGCTCCGGCTCACACGGGGCACAGGGCGCTCCGGCTCACAGGGCACAGTGCGCTCCGGCTCACACGGGGCACAGGGCGCTCCGGCTCACAGGGCACAGTGCGCTCCGGCTCACACGGGGCACAGGGCGCTCCGGCTCACAGGGCACAGTGCGCTCCGGCTCACACGGGGCACAGGGCGCTCCGGCTCACAGGGCACAGTGCGCTCCGGCTCACACGGGGCACAGGGCGCTCCGGCTCACAGGGCACAGTGCGCTCCGGCTCACACGGGGCACAGGGCGCTCCGGCTCACAGGGCACAGTGCGCTCCGGCTCACACGGGGCACAGGGCGCTCCGGCTCACAGGGCACAGTGCGCTCCGGCTCACACGGGGCACAGGGCGCTCCGGCTCACAGGGCACAGTGCGCTCCGCCTCACAGGGCACAGTGCGCTCCGGCTCACAGGGCACAGTGCGCTCCGGCTCACAGGGCACAGTGCGCTCCGGCTCACACGGGGCACAGTGCGCTCCGGCTCACAGGGCACAGTGAGTCCGGCTCAGGCATCCTCCTTCCAGGAAGGGAGGAGAGCACCCGGCAGGCTCATCACTTGGACAATCTGAATGCAAGGTCCTTTCCATCAAAGTCGAACTTCATGCATTCCCTCAAGCCTCTTACTACTCCTTTTTTTTGGTCTGAAAATACTTAGGGCTTAAAGTTTTTTTATTATTTTGGGGTGTTTCTTTTTAAATACAGACTTATCCCTCCCTGGCCTCAGGCGTTCTATACTCTGACAAAGAAAGAAAAAAAATACTTCGAAGTGAAACCAAAGTTCTGCCTTCAAATACACCAGTGACCCCACGTTCCAGGACCCGCACCCGTGGAGTCAGTCAGGACTTTACGGTTCCCTCATGTCGCCCAAGGCCGAGAGCCCTGGCTGCGTGCACCCTGGTTTCCACGAGGCTTTGTGCTCTTGCCCAAGTCTCACGACCATGAGGTGGACCATCATCATTCGTGAGCGAGGCCATCCATCTGAGCACTGGACATATGAGACCTGGAAGTGGACAGACAGTCCAATAAAAGACTCCAGAGGGATGTTTGAAAATTAAGTAAAGCCTTTAAATGAACTCCCAAACCTGCAGCCGGCCACCTCCCCTTGAGGGCGCCTGGTCAAAACAGGCGGACAAAGCTTGAGTCAGTAAAAGCCAAATGAGGCTGACGGCCTGACAGATGGGAGCCCAAAGCTGCTCACCCAGGCGGCCAACACAGTCCCAGAGCAGCGGCCCGGCTT